CTGAGGCAACAGAGCCTTCACCAGAGGAATACAGAGTGTAATGCAGTGTGGGCTGTATCCTGCAGAATGAGAGATGTGGGAGGGGCGGCCAGATAGTTGCAGCACTCCAGGCAGAAGGAACAAAATAGGTGGTTGGAGATGACAGGTTCCAGGACCCGGAAGATCCGCCCGGCTGGAGTACAGAGAGCCAGAGAAAGGTGATGCGTAGGAGACTGGTGAGGGGACAGGAATCCGGTGTGCAGAGTCTTCTAGGAAGAGAAGGTTCGGTGTTGGTCCTCATGGTTGTGGGGGGCTGGTGGGAGAGTTTCAAACAGGAGGGAGATGGTCCGGGAGGAATGTGTAGGGGAAAGAGTGGAGGCTTGAGAGTTAGGGGAGGAGGAGCAGAGAAGGAGACGGAGGAGGGCTGGTCAGAGAAACAAGAAGACCAGGGAGAGTAGGCTTAGAAACCCACAGGGAGCTCGGGCCTCCGAGCGGCTGCACTGCCCAGGCTGGAGGAGCCCTCCCCAGCAGGGCGGGCTTCGGGGGGAGGGGCTCCAAGGGCAGGAGCCGAACTTGTGGAAGAGTACCGAGCCATCGCTGCACCCGTTGAAGATCCAAGAGTGTGTAAGGAGACACTTGGATTTAACTCCACCCCAGCCTGCCGTACACCAAAGCAGAAAATCGGAGAGACAAAGTTTATGTCATTAATATGATCAGTATGGTTGCCCCAGCTGCCCCTAACCAAAGATTTTGTTGTATTAAGTGTCTGTGGACGGGCACTGCAGCAGTAACTGTTTCTTGGGGCGCCTGGGGGGCTCAGTCAGTAAAGGGTCTGCCTTCAGCTCAGGTCATGATCTCAGGGTCCTGGGATCGAGTCCCGTGTCAGGCTCCCTGCTCAGCGAGGAATCTGCTTCACCCTCTGCCTGCCACTCCCCCTGCTTGTGTGCTTGTTCTCTCTTTCTGTCAAATAAATAAAAATCTTTTTAAAAAATTACTCTTTTTTTCTTTTTTTCATTTTGTATGTGGGCGGTCTTGGTGCCCAGATTATATAGGTGATTTTTTTCAAAGTCACAGTTGAAATGTTTTAGACTTTTCCTGTAGAGATTTTATTTGATTTTCTACTGGATTGTCCATATTTTTATTTCAAGAATTGTGTATACTTAAACAAAGTAAAACAATTGAACACTGCCCATCCCCCTCCCCCCAAAAAGCTGCTAAGTTAATTTCCTTGATGCAGTAAGCCTTAGTGAGAGCCATGAGCTTGAAGGGTAGGCCCTGGTCCTGCCAAATATGGGCCTTCATTAATTTTGCATGGAATTAGGCCGTCTAAATGGATCCAGAGCTCACTTCTATCCCCTGTAATTTTTAGTTTATGAGACATTTTATTCTAGAAAGCTTTATGCCAGTTCCTTTTTCTACAGATTGCAACTTGAGTCTCTTAGTTCCTTTTGGACGTGAAGCACACGTAGTCTTTATACTTAGCCAGTGAGCATTGTTTCAGTCAGGGCTACTTTCTGGAGAAACCTGTAAGGTGTAACATCACATTGTTGCAATTTGACTGAGAATCCCTTTCCTGTTCATTCTGGTCACAGACTTTTATGGGCTAAGCTTAGACGCTTGGCTGCTCCTACACACCCAGAGCCTGCACCCGTGACCCGCGGCACTTGGGATAGACTGAGGAGGGACGGACTTGTGCTCTCTGCACGTCCACCCACTTGGTAACTTACATGGCAACAGTTCAAGCCACTTTGCCTGGCTTGGTCCATACACTCCTGTATCTCTTTTTCTAGAGTTTTCGGAGTATTCTTCTTTACACTGTTGATATAACTATTTTGTCATGTATTAGGAGAAGCTTCAAGAGGTGATTATCAGGAAAAGTACCTCAAGACCAGACATCAGATCTTCCAGGTATCTGCCAACATTTACTTGGCGCGGATCCATCAGCTGTGTGATCCTGGTGAAATACTTCAGTTATCCAACAGTATGCTACTCTGTTAATTAATCTTGGAGGTTCTGAGAATGCTATGTTGAATTATTTTTTGAAGTAGAATCCGCATAACATAAAATTAGGTATTTTAAAGTGTATAATTCAGTGGTGTTGAGGACATCCACAATGTTGTATTATCACCACCTCTGGCGACTTCCAAACCCCTTCATGATCCTCAAGGAAAACCCCATGCCCACTGAGCAGTCACTCCCCATACCCCCCGCCCCCCAGGCCCGGGGCAGCCACTGGGCTGCTTCCTGTCTGTGGATTTGCCTATCTGGATATTTCATGTAAATGGAATCATATGACATCTGGCTTTTCGTGTCTGACTTCTTTCACTTGGTATAAAGTTTTCAAGCTTCGTCCACATTGTAGCATTTTTCAGTACTTTGTTCCTTTTTATGGCTGAATTTCATTGTTTATGTGCACCAAATTTTATTTTGCAACCATGACAGAATTTTAAAATCTAGCACTGATGGCGATTTGCATAATACAGATGTTAGGAGCATTGATTGCTAGTGATGTGCTGGGTAGGTATGGAACATCTCTCTCCACTTTAGTTTCTGAGGGAGCCCTTGGCTTTACCCACCCTCCCTCGGGGAGGCCATCACCTTCATAAAAGATGCTGCTGTCCCTTTTGTCAGCTTACTGTCAAAGCATATGGGACCTGTCCTAATTTAGCTAAATTCGATCTTACCAGAAAATACAACCTCAAGCTCTTTGTCTAGTTCTTTTCAGCGGCTCAATTTCAGGAAATAGCGTACAGAATATATATTCTATATATTCCTCTAGAGTCTAGATTAGGATTAGAAACTGCAGCCCACAGGCTTATTGCCCGTGTGTGTAAATAAAGTTTTATTGGTGCACAGCACATCCGTCATTTACACATTGCAGAACTGAGTAGCTGCAACAGAGACCAGCGGCCCTTCATCTACCTTACTGGGCCCTATAACCTAAGTTTCACCTTCCCTTCGCCTCTGAGGAACCAATAGGTAGGCTTCAGTGATCTATGAAAACGCCCACATTTTATGCAAAACCACATGTTTTGTTGGAGAGAGGATCTGTGATTTTCACCAGTTTCCAGAAGGGACCCAAGACCCCAAATGATGAACAGTCCTTGTTCTAAGTCGCCAAAAGATCAGTGCCCTGTGTTATGCTTCATCAGCAGTTCTGAGACTTGCTAGAACCCTGTCCTGTAGGTACTTTAAAAAATTGCTGGAGCCCCAAAGAGCTTTTGTTTATTTGAGTTGTAGCCATCAGGATTTACTGTATTAGAAGTTACAATGAAAAGTTTAAAAACATTGGTATATTTAAAAATAACAATAATCAGCTGATTGCATATCTATGTTGCATTTTTGCAAGGATCACAAGTCACATGGCCTCTGCTGCATTACAGGGAGCATGAGAAAGGCAGATAATGGCTTGGGATTGTTGTGAAGGTGGTTTTGTCTTGGTGGAATCCCTGAGAGGTCTCAGGGCCCTGGGATGCCCAGACCGTACCTGGGGAGCGGTGTATTTGGACTGCACTATGTTATTTTCCTGCTGAATTGTACTCTGCTATTTTGGCATTAGCATGCAGTAAGGGATGCTGTGAGAAGCAGCTTTGGGAGCTTGCTCTGCTGTTCAGGGTCGGCATTGGGGGAGGGGCTGGTCTGTGAAGGGCAGGAAGGGCATGGGGCAGTCGCCCTTTCATGAGTGACCACAGGGGCCACTCCTTTGGGTTTCAGTGCCAGGAGGAGCTGGGCCACCTCTGGGCCACTGGTAGGTTTTTAAATCTTATGAAAACAGATTTTCCTGACCAGTCCTGTTTTCGTCTTTGGTTTGGCAGCTGGGAAGCTCAGAGCCGAATTTTTAGCCTGCGTTCATCTCTTGGATGTGGTGTGTGTGTCTAAGTCTCACCCCTGACTTTCCTGCTTTTTCCCTCCTCAGTCTCTCCATGGGCATGTGTATTCCATTTATATATTTTTGTAAGCTATAATGTACTGTGTGTGGCTTTATAAACTGTCACATCCTTTTTTGAACGAGATTGACTATAAATCCTTTCAAGTGAAACTTTTCCTCTTATATTATTTTGTGAAACGTTTTAGAGCTTTAGCATCTAGTAGATTAGAGTCTGTTGATTTACAGAGGCCAGTGAGTCACTTTCATTTCTGATGTCCTTTTCCAGGTTACCTTAGATAAGTCCAAACCTAACCATCCCATATCTGGAAGTGCGGGGACGCTATTTTGTTTCCTTACGTACTATATATAGTACAGTTACTTGGCAGTTTTGTTATTTACTTCCTCCTGCAGCCTCTGCCCTATTTTTCCATTTTATCTCTGTCTCGTATACACAGATATTTCTGTTATTCATATTATTACATTTAGTCATAACAGGCTTTTTGTGGCTGCTTTGGAACTTTTGTAAGTAGTGTTTAACACTATTCTTAGTTACCTGTATATGTTTTCGTCAGTGTGGCTCTGCTGATTTTAAACAGGGAAAAACTTGAAACATGAATGTTTACAAACTGTGAAGCGCTTCTCCTGTTCATTAGAGCCTGAAATTAACTGAAGCTAAAGAGGACCCTGCAGATGGGCTGTGGTGATACGGTCACGCCTTGGGTCAAACACCCAGCCTTGCTGCATCACAGGGCTACGTGTGTAGAAGAGGGATTTTCCTGAGACTTAGGGAAAAAATAATGTTGTGTTTTATGCAAATTGAAGCGGGTAGAGATCAAAATGTATTTGGTGTAAAATACTGATTCTCATAATTGTTTGAAGATTACACTTTGCATATTTGTTATTAAATGGCTGTCGTTTCAGTTTTCAGAAGACCGTGCAGTCTTCTCGAGTAATGAAGAACGGGGCGTGTTGTCCCGGGGTTCTGCAGTGAAGCTGACCCAGTGAGAAACAGCGAAGTCTGGCTGGAATACCAGCAGTGGTCATGGGACGCTGAAACAAAGCTCTGGGCCCGTGGTGTCGGCTTTCCTGCTGCTTCTGTGTCCCACGCATACACGTAGGTCACCTCGGAAGAACACGGTCTCCAGTTTATGGCACTTCCTCACTGTGGCCAAAGGAGTGCCGTCTGCTGCGTAACGCAGGATGAGGGGAAACTAGACGTGGCTGCAGGCGACTTCTTATCGAACCCAGACCTTTCCTCAAGGAGCCCATGAGAAGCGCGGTGGACAAGAAGAAGCTGGAGCAGCTGTACGACAGCTACAGAGGTAAGAGGAGGCCGCGGCCGGGGGCAGACGGCAGGCAGCAGGAGTATTCTAGCTCCTGGACGTCTCACACCCAGTTCACAAGACCTCCAGGAGGCTGTTCCTCCTCCTTCTGGGACTCGGCTGCAGCGGACTGGTGACTGAGAGCGGCTGGGCCGGGCTGGGCTGACGGGAGTGGGCTCTGCAGACGCGGCGCTGGTGAGCCAGTCCAGGCAGGGTCTGCGGCCCGCGCACCCAGCCGCAGCATAGTCTCCTTCTGGGGGGCGTGCTGTCCCGGCCACACACATGCCCCCGTACTTCTGCGTAAGCTGGAGGATTCTGGCGAGAGGGCAGTTGAAGAAGTGACTCTGACCTGAGGGTGGAAGTCGTCCTTCTGCTAACACAGGGTAGCCACGTGGTGGGCCTGGAGCCGCTGGGCAGTTGAGGGAGCTGGGGGGTGGGCAGCTCTTAGCAAAGAAACGTTTGTGCTATAAGTTGGGGACCATTGTTGTTTTATTAAAATCGGCACTTAGAATGGAGCTTTCCCCATCAAAATATGGTTGTGCTGCAGGAAGAAGTGTCTCTGATGAGTCTGTACCGATTGACTCCCTCAGCAGGCTGTCGGATTTCATATCGCATGTCCAGTCCGTGCTGGAATTGGAGAGGCAACAACTATTCAAAGTTCGTTTATTTTTTCTTTCTAGCACTTTCTAAGGTTAACCTTCAAAAACCTCATTTAAACAAGCATTAACCCAAACAGAAGAACTCCTGGGCTTTAAATTCTTGTTTATTTTCATTTTTTACTTTTGAAAATATCAAGTGTATATTTTAATCTATTTAGATCTGAAAATAGATTAAAAATTACATTCTTTTTTTTTCTTAATCTTTGGCACAGAAACATACTCTGTGGTAGAAAGAGCAGATTTGTATTTGAAAAATGAACATTGGTTTTCAAAATGAAAAATCATTGTTTTTAATAAGCTTTAATGTGCTTTAAATTTTTTTTGGCTAAGTTAATTTTGCCAAAAATTGGAGTGGAGCTAAGTTTGTGAGTCACATGCTATGCAGATTTCTGAAGTGATTCAAATATGTCTAGCGCCTTTTAAAAAAATACTTTGTGAGAGTTACTTCAGTTTAAACAGTATCCTTTTATCATTTAATTTTATTCATGCAATTCTTGTCATTTAAAGTAGACACATTGTGGGGCGCCTGGGTGGCTCAGTCGGTTAAGCGACTGCCTTCGGCTCAGGTCATGATCCTGGAGTCCTGGGATCGAGTCCCGCGTCGGGCTCCCTGCTCGGCAGGGAGTCTGCTTCTCCCTCTGACCCTCCTCCCTCTCATGCTCTCTGTCTCTCATTCTCTCTCTCTCAAATAAATAAATAAAATCTTTAAAAAAAAAAATAAATAAAGTAGACACATTGTGCAATCATCTTGGGTCTAGAAATAGATATATTGTTCAAAGACTGTTAACAAATATAACGTTGGTTATTATGTTAATGTATGCAAATAAATGAGTACTTCTACACTTTCAAATAGTATTATCACTTGTGAAATTTATGAGGTGAGGGCATTGGGGGCAATTTTGCTCTCCTGAAGATCTGTAACTCTGGGAGCATTGAATAATAGGAAGGCGGGTGAGAAGCAGAAGCCCTTGGGACAGCTGCTCGCTCATTATACAGGACAACAGGTTGGGAGGAAGCCTGTGCTTTCATTTGTTTAATTTACGGCATACTTTTTATTTTATTTTATTTTGGTAACGACATGCCTGTAAAAATGTAGCCTATGAATACTTAAGTGACCAAAGTTAAATTTTGTATGATGGAAGAAAAGTTTGTGCCACTTAATCTTTATTTGAGCAAAGAAGCTACAAATTTTCTATTCGTACCTTCTAAACCAACAGAATTAACACATACATCATGATGATATATTAGTACACGTGCATTCTGTCGGAAATTACAAGACCTAGTTTGGTGAGGTCTTGCTGAGATGTTTCTAATAGATTTTACTATTTGATTTTCTGATAAATGCTAAGTTCCTTAATTTCATTTCTAAACCAGAAATGGGGAGTGAGGGAGGCCTGAATTTCTAAGCCATTAAATGTGGATTCATGAACTAAATGATTTTGCGACCTAAATGTTGTACGGTAGCATTAAAATTATAGCAAATGAAATCACTTTGAAAAGAAAAACATCAGTTTCTTTATTGTTTTGGCAGGGTTGTGACAAAAACTTATAATATTGTAAACACTTTACAAATGCAGTATTTTTTTAATATTTTTAAAATTTTAAAATATTTTTAAAAATTACAGATTTTTAAAAATTTTTAAGTGATCTCCACACCCAACTTGGGGCTCAAACTCACGACCCTGACATCAAGAGTCGCACACTCCCCCCACCCCGACTGAGCCAGCCAGGCGCCCTATGATGCGGTTAGGGTTAGGGTTAGGGTTAGGGTTGCCTTTGGACAAACTAGAATTGTATAAAGTTGAATTTTTATTTTACTTTATGGAAATTAATTTTTTTCTTAATGATTAAGTCTTTTCAAAGAAGTTGCGGTATTCTTTTTTTCTTCCCCTAAACTCCAGTAACCTAGATTTTTAAAATAGGGCTTTTTTTTCTGGATAAATTATTATTTGTTGCTGTTTCATATACAGTAGAAAATTGTGGTCCATTGATTGATGTATCTGAAACATGCTTTCTAGGGCTATGATTCTAACCACCCATTTTAGTGGTACTTTTCAAAATAGCAAAATTTCTTTCTCTCTTGATTTTAACTGTAGACCCACAAGATGAAAATAAAATTGGAATTGACGGGATTCAACAGTTTTGTGATGACTTAAACCTAGATCCTGCCAGCGTCAGCGTTTTGGTTATAGCATGGAAATTCAGGGCAGCGACGCAATGTGAATTTAGCAAAAAGGAATTTGTAGATGGCATGACAGAGCTGGGGTAAGTAAATTGGTCTCAGTTTGAATTTTTTCGAAAAGGAAGATGCTTTCAACATTAATTATTTTTCAACAACCTATAAACATTCATTTCAAATTAATTTATTTTCTGTGTGTATCTTATAAATTTTTTATGCCTCTTCTCTATTAATAATAGCCTTTGGTTTCCTTTTAAACTCCAGTTAAAGTTTTATTTAGTACATTCAGATTAATCCCTTTTGTAATTTACTTTTTTCTTTTTAATTTTTATCCTTCCAGTTTTGAATTCACAGTAAATACCAGGGTGTTTTTGTTTGTCTTCAGCCATTCAATTTATTTCATGATGCTGTATCCTAAATGTATTAGTTGTGTTGCTATGTTAAACATCAGTAAAATACCATTTTGGTTTTTTGCTTGTAACACTTCTCTGTTCTACCCACAGGGTTGGGATAAAAGCTTCATTAATAACGTAAGATGTTTCTCACTTGTCAGATAAGTCAGAGAAGTAAATGAAAGCATGTAACGTAAATGTCTTCTAATCGTGAAACTTACTGAGCTATTTCTTAGGGTGGTCTAAATGCCAACTTGCTTGACTTGCTGATACTGTGATATTTCAGTGTTGACAACTTAAACTAGCTAATTTTTAGCTGCTGAAGGAGCTTAAAAGTCTAAGGTAAACATGTTCTTAAGGCATGGACGTACAGCATCCCAGGGGGAAGAACAGAATGGTTTGTCCACTAAGCCGATGAATCTGTTACATATAACAGCCTTGTGTGTTCAGATGATGAACTCTACGAGACTTACCCTACTGCTGGTGGTTGTGTAGAACCAAACAAAAGACATCTCTGCAACAGTGGTGTGAGAGCACGTTGCTTCATGTTCTGTGTGCTCAGGAAAGCCAAGGTGCACTACAGGGAATTCTAGAATGGAAAGCACCTGTTACAGAATCATCCTCCTGGCGTGGTACTACACTTTACCCCATCTGCTAGAACCTTCCCCAAATGGGAGATTCTGGAAATAAGTGCTTCTTATGGAAACACTTGCATTTCCTAGGCATGATCTAGAAATACGTCGTACGGGTAAATTTTAAAAATTCCTGTCTATTATGCTAATAAGTGTTATAATTTAAAACATGTATTTTTAAGATTTTGAGTGTGAATCTTCCCAAAATGTGTTAGGTAAATTCATGCCTCCTTATATGTAATTTAAGATTATAACTTAGTGCTACTTAATGGTGCAGCTCTTCACATCTCACAGGGCAGTTAAAAGGGAAAGCACTTTGTAGATATTAAAGTACTGTGTAGTAAGTATCATCAGTGTGACAGTAAACTGTATTGTAGAGATAACCTCAGTGCTTTTAGGGATGTAAAAGACTGTTGTAGTCTAAACAGCACTAAGCTTTAAAAAATACTTCGGGTTTTGTGTCAGCTCTATTATTTTTCACACTTTTTCCTGGCTATTAACCCCTGACAGTGGTTGCAATACCTACCTGTAACAGTTAATCCTACATCCTTTCTTTGGGGGTTTGTGGATTCGTAAGTGAACTGAATAAACGTCATGAAATTCCTTGACATCTTTGTAAAAACAAGAAATTGGCCATATTGTGGATCTGTTTCTAGACTCTGTTGTAGTTGGTGGGTCTGTTTATCCTTAGCCCTGCAGCACGCAGACTTCATTATTGTAGCATTAGGTAAGTCTTGAAATGAAGTAGTGAAGTCTTCGTACTTTTCATCTGAAGATTGTTCGTCAATTTTTATTATTTCAGTGGGGAGAGAAGAGTCTTTTCAGCAGCTGACACCGAAATAACTGGGTGAGCCTGAGAACACATCACCTCGGTCCCTGTATCAGAGCACTGGCCACAGTTAGAGATGGATGTGGGCTGGATTGCACACCTGTACAAGAAAGTGAAACTTTAAAGTTCTCGACAAAATGTGGGAGAGTATCTTTATTAAAACCCAGATTAAGGAATAAAAAGCACTAGCTGTAACGGAAAAAATTAATAAGTTGGACTTCATCACAGTTAAGAGCTCTGCTTAACTAAAGAGAGAACAGTGGGAGAAAATACTTGCTCTCTATGTGTATGTTACAATCATGATAAAAATGGTAGAGGATGTGTGATTTACGTATAATTCCTAAATAATGGAGCAGGACTAAAGTAATAAATTCAATCCAAAAGAATGTGAGAAAAAAAGAACATAAGGAAAATTAGCTTAACACAGGACAAATAGCAAGCAGTGATAAAATGGAGGATTGTAAGTCAATGTGTCAGCATTTACATAATTACATTAAATGTAAGTAAACTAAATATTGGATGGATTTTAGAAAATCAACTCAACTATTGTGTATACTGCTTACAATAGATACAATTAAAACATAAGGGCACAGGACAATTTGAAGGATAAAAGTTGATGTAATTGGCAAACATTTAACCAAAAAAATTTGGTGTGGCTATGTCAATATTAAAACAAGCTTTAAAGGCAAAAAGTAATTCTAGAGATAATGAAGGACATTTCATAATGAGGAAGGGTTTATTTCACATGGAAGGCAATTGATTATTTAAAGCAAAAATAAACACTACAAGAGAAAGATAGAAATTACAATCAAAGTGGGGAATTCTCACACACATCTTAGCAACTGATAGAATGAGCAGGTGGAAAATCAGTAAGGAAATAGGAGATTTGGACAGCACAACAAATGGCCTAATGGACGTGCTTAGAACATTGCCTTTGATGTTGAAGAATACATACTCTTTTCAGAAGAAGAGTAGACCATTTATAAATATCGACTATAAACCGCACCATAAAATAAGTTGCAACAAATTTCAAAGGATTGAAATGATACACAGTATATTTTCTGACCACAATACAATTAAGGTAGAACAAAAATAACTTGATAGGTTTTTGAAATATGTGTAGATATTGTATACTCCTGAAAACCCTTGGGAGTAAGAAGTTACAGTGGAAATTAGAAAATATTTTGAATCATGAAGAAAACACTACACATGAAAACTTGCAGGATTCAACTTCTTAAATGCATATTTTAGAAGGAAGAGTTGAAAATCAGTAAGGAGAGCATCCATCTCAAGAAGTAGAAAAAGAGCAGGAAATTAAACTCAAAGAGTGTAGAGGAAAGGAATTAATTTTTTTTTAAAGATTTTATTTATTTATTTGACAAGAGACACTGCAAGAGAGGGAACACAAGCAGGGGGAGTGGGAGAGGGAGAAGCAGGCTCCCCACAGAGCAGGGAGCC